CTACTACTAGTAATAATAATAATACTGCTACCGCTACTACTCCAGAAAAAAATACCGCGTATTATTGTTACTTTTCCAAACATAACTCATCAAGTTCTCAACTGCTCCTTTCCGGCTGGGCTGTGATTGCACTGCATGCTTTAGCAGAATGCTGACTATGAGTGACTTCTGATGCCTCAACCTGAGGACCGAAGGAGTCTATCACTCAATCCGACAGTCTGTCGCTGGAGTTGCTGAAGCGTCTGCCAGTTGTTTGAAGTGAAGATAGTGAAGATCTTGATCTGACAGAACTCGGAAGGCAAGGGACGAGGCCTGTTGTGTCGAAGCGATCACTAGGTTCAAGAGCAACCATCGAAACTTCGAGCAACGGCCCAGTGCCTGCATGTGGCCCTTGCCCGCACCGTTCTGCGGCTGCTCCGTGATCGCTCGGCTCTCCTGGAGGTGGACATGCGAATCGCCTTTCTTGGGGTAACCACGAGCAGCGATTACTAGTTTTTCGAGTTTCTGATGTAGGGGTTAGGGTGTAGAGCTTCGATTTTACAACTCGCTCACGCCTGTGGCAGGGAACAATGGCATCTGTCCGTCGGCCCCGGCCGTGCACCCAAAGCACAGAACCCTGTACCTCATCTTAAATTATCCGGCACATTGGCTCTGCATGTGAGTGTATAAGCACATACAGACGCATTCTCATATATAATGTATGTGTGCGTGTGTGTGTACATACATACATACATACATACATACATACATACGTACATACATACATACATACATACATCCATCCATCCATGTATGCATGCATGCATGCATGCATACATGCATACATGCATACATGCATACATGCATACATGCATACATACATACAGACATACATACCAACATACAACATACATACGTACATACATACACACATACACATACCTACACATACATCATGCTTACATCATGCATGCATGCATGCATGCATGCATGTGTGCGTGTATGTATATATATACATACATACATACATACATACATACATACATACATATATATATATATGCATGATGTTTGCATTTGCACACGTATTGCATACACATGTACATGTATGTTAGTACGTGTACATAGACGCGTGCATGTATGCGTCTACTCATTCGTGTATGTGTGCAAACATGTACATGCATATGCACTTGTATACGTACACATATACAAGCACATCTGTACACATATACATACATATGCACGTAGGTATGTGAATATGATACTCAGCTAATCTCAGCTAGATTCGTGTCCATGTCCATAGATAGACAAACAACTCAATTGATTTATTGATTGATTGCTTGAGCCAGAGCGTGATTGAAATTCCACAGGCACCTCCTCCTGTCGTTGCGTCAGGGAGGCCATACCCCCCTGCACCCTGGCAGGCTCGGCTGAGGATAGTTTGGGGCTTATGGCTGACTTGAAGTTACTTTAGCTGCTACAACGCTACAAGACATAATGCAACCAACCCTAGTGTGAGTACGATCGCCTTCCTGCGCCTAGAGGTGTGGAGTTATTGCTTTGTTTCCTTTGTGATCTGAACTGCTGCTCGTCTTCCGTTGCCCATCTGTCTGCCTCACCTACCTTTGCAAACTCCTCAAAGTTTACTTGAAGCCTTGCCCCTCCCGGCTTCTGAGGCTGCTACTAGAGATCATGGGCTCTCGAGCAGGGCATTGGAGCATTCTGGGCTGTGGCTTCCGGCAAAAATCCGCAGAGTACAGACACATGACCGCCCAACCGCAGGCCTTCAAGGCTTGGAACAAGACAGTTCAGAATCCGGAATCTGAAGCCAAAACCCGGGAAACAACACTTCCCATGCTGCTGGACTTCCCGCCTCCCGTCGGGCAAACGACCTAGGCTGCAGTAGTAGTGGTCGCTGTCGTCGTAGTAGTAACAGTGGTAGCAGTAGCAGCTGTAAAAGTTGTAGCAGTAGTAGCAGTGGGACTGGGACTGGTACTGCGACTGCGACTGCTTCACTGCTACTAGTACTCCTCCTCATCATCATCCTCCGCATCCTCCTCCTCAATCTCCTCCTCCTCCTCCGCGAATGTGTCTTTTGCTGCCGGTCCTCCTACGGCTACAGCTTCTCTTCCTCTACCACTACTGCTACCACTTCCAGCAGCACTGGAACTACCACCCTGATCATGCAGTCTACTTGCATTATAGAATATTGTGAGGTGCAATCTTGGATTATATAATAGTGGATGATAAGATACTGTATTATATAATATTGTACTGTATATAATATTGGATTATAACATATTGTATCATTAAATATTGTATTATATGGTATTATTGTGCTTGCACGACCCAGGCTTTGGCGAGCCGAGGCCCCGGCCCCGGGCTTCTACGTACAACGTGGCACCTCCGTTGGCTGTCCACGCAAGGCCTGAGAAGAGGGGTTTAGGGTTTATGGGTTTAGGGTTTAGTGGTTTAGGGTTTAGGATTTGGGGGGATCTCACTCTTTAATGAGGGGCATTCATCCTACGTACACATCCTTCTGAGGTTGCCATAAGCAGCACAACTTTCAAAGCATCCGTACCGAAATACCAGGAGATGACGTTCGCTGGGGTTCCGTTGAAGGCGCGTGCAGGATGCTACGTCGCAGCTCAGTGGTTCCCTAGAAGAAACCTATACTGCTAGGGCTTGGCTTCACAACTATTGGGATTAATTTGTCGACACATATTTGCCACTGCTATTAGCAGATATCCCAAGCTGGCTCTGCTTTGTTGCCAGGGGCTTTACCATTGCGGAAAATTCGAGACCAACTGGCGGACCGGGGGCCTAACCCCACACCCCGACCTTTACACCCTAAGACCCTAAACCCTAATTTAAACGGCCCCCGTGTGCCAACTCGGAAGTGTCTCCCCAACCCTGAAGTCGTGCCTCGGTCCATAGGGTAAGGCAGTGGCAGTCGTCGTATTGTTAATAATACGGCTTATAGTATACTATTACTACATAGGGAGCATAGGGGGATATTGGATGCTCCAGACATCTGCACTTCTTGACAGACCGCGCACTAGTTTAACTCCAACATGGCATGGACTGAAGTGTCACCAAGGGGCCCATAACCACCCCAGGCGGTGTGCCCGACGAGTAGAGCTTGTCCGACATGTGTAGCCTCGGCCACCGAAAGCGCTGCGGGCGAGACCCACGGTTTTGTGCTATATCCAGGGATTACGGGCCCCATTGGCTTCTTGAGGTTGCTCTGGGTGATGGCGGCTCCATCGCTTCTTGTGCTAGCTGCTAAGAATCTAGGCGACCACCAGACATCATCAGGTTCGTCAGCACATTCAGGTCTTTGGTCTACCCCTGGATGAAAGATCCCCTTGCACATCCCTCACACGACAGCTCCTTTTGCCGGGCAAAATCGATCCGCTGCTCAAGCGCCCCAACTGTACAAGGAGGGGCTGGCTGAACAGAAACATTCCCACAAGATGTGCGAAGCGCAAACTTGGAGTCTCATTACTAAAGGTGTCTACGGGCCATAGCAGAAAGCGCGCCGACGAGCCACACTGCTTCGCATGGACTCGCTCAAGCTGCAGTCAACGCCTGTCCTCTTCACGGGTAGTTATAAGCAGGGTCGTAAGTCCCCTAGTATGGGTTACACCACTTATAACCCCACTGTTAAGTAACCATGAACCTCCAAGCACAAAACAAGACATGGCCACAAGGACAGGTGCTGGTTCTTAGACATGTACATGTCTGACGTGGAGAGGCAACGACACCCTCGATGAGAGCTACATGCTATTCAGCTGCTATTCCTATTGCTTCGCGGTAACTGCTATGGCATTGCCAATCCTACGATGGTTACCATCCTTTGTGCTGTTTCGCTGACTACGATCATGATTGGAATTTAGCCCTGTCCACAGATTATCAACATCCGGAAGCCTCATCCCTCTATTACTACAAGATCACGACAACGGAGCACTTCGCGCCATCCAGGACAAAGCTGCCCGGAGGTTCATGGGTAGTTATATAAGTAAGGTAACTATGACTATCACCTATAGCCCCACCTATAATTGCCCTAAGCCCTAAACCCTAAACCCTAAACCCTATAGCAACTTATAAAGGAACCCTATAACTCCACTTATAACTACCCATGAACCTCCTGGCGGGACCCCGGGGCGCACGCGCGCGCTCCGATGGAAGCCGCAGCCAGCTCTGGTCCAGGGCTATGGGTCCAGGGTTGCACGTGGCTTCTTTTTCCCACATGAAAACCCTAAACGTTAGAAAATCCTAAGATTCCTTTTTATGACTGTACTTGAGTATACCCCAAAACCCGATTCTAATCATCAAGGCCCTTATATTACGTGCTTTGAATGGTGGAAGGTTTCGGGTTTCAGGGGATGAGGATTTTGGAACTTCAGCACTTCGCCTTGAGGGTCTTAGAAGGTTTACTTTGAGGTTCAAGAGCTTTGCATTCAGGGTGCGAGTTGCAGGCCAGAGTGCAGAGAACACAGCTGCATCACGGCAGCTAGTAGACCAAGACTACGGTCACAGCCGTGCATAACGACGATGCTAGTGCTGCCTGCATGGAAGTTCACAGCAATCAAAAAGCCCTTCACCCGCAAAACCGAAGCCCTAATACTGATGTCGACCTGGTATGGGAGGGCGCTATGCAGAAGGGCGGGTCTGAGGATTGAGCTGGGTATTGAATTTGCGACTGGGGTCGAACCCATGAACCCGCAGCCCTTGCTTGAAGGCCAAGGCCCAAAGTGGCGTTCCCGCATCCAGGGTTCCCGGAAAAAGTGAAACAGCATCAGACTCATCGGTCAGCGCACTGTGATTTTGCCGCTGGAACCGGGTGCTCTCGTCACCGGCAGGCCTGTCCACCCAGACTTCACAGGATGGAGGGCCTCCTTACGAGAAGGCCTGTGCCATCAAGCATGATCGAGCACAGGCATTTACAAGCAGTGGCAAGGCTGGCGAATGCGGCCGACGGCTTTGGCGCGTCCCAACACTATGCTTGCAAAATTTTACAACTACGTCGGAACCATACGAAGATGTTGGTGGGTCGCTTTGGTGCTGATGCCGGTCCACATTTCGAACTAACATCAGGCTTTGCCTTTGCCAGCACCCTTCGCCTTTTTCATGATTCCCATCATCACGTCTTTGCGCTGGTCCTCCTTCACTAACTCAAGGATGGCCATGATCTCAGCAACGGCATCCTCCACCTAACTTGGGCTGGGCTGGGTATCGTATCCCCTTATAGTCCTCATACAAGCATACTGCAACATACCCCCAAACCTTCTTCTACTTATTCAGTGGGCCCCATAGAGCAGCAGATCTTGCTCCTCTATAAACCCTAAGCCCTAAACCGCTACGCCAGACGAATGGCCAAAGGGCAAACAGCCAGGCTGGTGACTCCCTCAGGCTTAACATAGGGGCCTAAATAATTATCAATAGTATTGTGGTGGGCTCTTATTGTTTATGTAGTAGAATGGGTAAGGCCACTGTATCAGCAGACCCTTCAAGGCCTGCTAAACTTCAAGAGTTAGGGTGTAGGATGTTTAGATCATATTGGTTGGGGTTCCTGGGCTTAGGGTTTAGGGTCTTAGGATTTAGGTCAGGGCTCTAGGGTTTTAGGCACTTTTAGGGTTTGGGGTTTCAAGGTTTAGGGTTCAGAGCTGCAGCACGCGGATGCACCTTCTTCTCATTCCCTTTGCTCTCTTCGTCGCCGTCTGCTGCACCACCTCCATACATAGGTCCAGGCTGGCGGGTTTAGTTTAGGCCCCATACAGGTTTAGAAGGGTCTATCATAGTAGACTGATATAGCCATCAGGCCTCCATATTAAGATGCAGGTCTTAAAGGTAGTGCAGTACAGGCAAAACCTAGGGTAGTTAGGGTTTAGGATTTAGGGGAAGATGTCTTCTGCGCCGTGCTTCCATAGCTCTGCATCTTCGCTTGGGTCCTGACTATCGCACATAGTGTCTTTCGGCATCTGACCGCCAGTTAGTAAGCATCACAATAGAAACAAGTGAAACCTAACATATATAATATGGTATGATGTAGCTTAAGAAAGTGAACAATGACACAAAAAAATGTAGTGCGATACGATATGATATGCTATTAAATGTGTGTATATATATATATACACATCGGCAAAATATGAAGCATCATTATATAACATAATACTGCATAGTGTAACATCATATAACCTAGTTTAACATAACATGATATGCCATGGTATAATCATCATGGTATAACACAATATAACAAAAAATCTGACATATAAGTCATATAACATCATCTAATTTGACATAGTATACAAGAAAAGAATAGTATCGTCTAGTCCAGTCTGGTACAACACAATATAGTTTTCTCTCATATAATACAACACAGTGGAGCAGCGTTGTGTGCCGAATAGAATGTAATATTGAGTTTGTAAACTACAACTACAACATACAAAATGAGAACATACAACATGACATGATAAGATATGGCATGATATGTTGGATTGTTGTTATGCAAAGATGGAGTATCATGTGATGTTTCTTACTACAATGCAACATCATGCCATGTCTCTGACGGCTGCCTAAAGCCTGCCTCCGACCCTACACATAGAATGAGGAAGCCCAGTAGAGTATAGAACTAAATACTCCACACACGCCTGGATCTGCACCGAAAGTCTAAGAACCACTCAAGAAGTCACTCTTAGATGTCGGTAATGCTCTAAATGAGGGTCCTCGTTTAGGTCCCCAATAGAATATGGCACCCCGTATTAAAAGGACCCTAACAGGGACCCTAATTTAGAAAACTACCCATGTTTGAAACCTCCACATGAGAGCTGCAACGGCCTTGCAGCTGCCTGGCGATCATGGTGGCATATCGGCCCTCCTCTGCAATCAAGGGTTTAGGGTTTAGGGTTTTTTTTATTGAGGGTTTAGGGTTTAGGGTTTGGGGTTTTAGGGATTGTTTGATGGAGGGTTTAGGTTTCAGGGTTCAGGGTTTAGGGTTTCTGTTTATTGAGGGTTTAGGTTTTAGGGTTCAGGGTTCCTTTTTATTCAGGGTTTGGGTTTTAGGGTTTAGGGTTTAGGGTGTTTTTTAATTGAGGGTTTAGGTTTCAGGGTTTAGGGTTTAGGGTTTAATTTTGTTGAGGGTTTAGGTTTTGGGGCTTGGGATTCAGGGTTTAGGGCCCAGACATGCTGGGTTCGTCCCTTGAGCCCTCGCCATCTCGGCTTGGCTTCTTGTTGGCTCTCTTGGCAACGGCAGGGTTCTCAGTACCAATTTGGTAGAACCGGGGTTGGTAGATGGCTTGAGGGCGCAGCCTTTCAAAAAACTCACTATTTGGAAGCTCCGGATGATGCAGTCGTTCAGTGAGAGTGGGACTCCCAGCCAACTCCGTTTACTGTCGAAGGGCTGGAGTAGAGATACACATCGATGTTGGTTTGGATGGAGTGTTTTTTTTTTAATTCGACCCAGACCAGAGCCAACTGCTTTGGCCGCAGGGGACACGATCCTTGATCTGCACCAGTTCGTCGTGTGTGCCCTGCTCAACGACTTCGCCTTGCGAGAGTCACGCCAGTGCGACTACGCAACACACAACTCTCATGGAACTTGTGCCCTGTCACACGCAGTTGGTGGCAGTGGGGCTGAGGGGGGCACCTTCATGGAGGACGATGATGCGGTCGGCATCCTTGATGGTAGAGAGGCGGTGAGCAATGACCATGATGGTACCTTGCAGTATCTTGCAATGCTGCTTCCGAGACACAAACCATGCCCTTTCTCTCCGTCTAGCTGAACCAAAGGCACATCTGTGCTGCAGAGAAAATGTGGGAGAATGTCATACTGACGGCATCAAAGGACGAAAGCCTGAGGCATCAACCTCCCGTCCACCAAAGCGTGTCACCACATCGCTGCATCAATACTGCCTGGGGTGCCTCCAACATGGTTAGGCTATCCACCTTACCAATCCTTGTAGTAGCCGGTGTAATAACCCCTGCAGTAACCCGTAACCCTTTCCCGAGCCCTGAAAGAAATCGGGATAATGACAGTAACGCTGAGAGATGTCAAGAGATGTCTACCTACCTGGACGTTCATGGGTAGCTATATGTGTGGGGTTAAACGTTCCCTAATATGGGTTGAAATTATAGTTTCCCTAGTTAAAACCCCACTTATAGTTCATAGCTGCCCGTGAAGCTCCAAGTAGACCCTAAACCCCCTGCACCCTAAACCCTAAACCCTAAACCCTGAACCCTAAACCCTAAACCCTAAACCCTAAACCCTAAACCCCAAACCCTAAACCCTAAACCTAAACTAGCCGTGAACCTCCAAGTAGGGTCCCTCAGTCGAGCTGCAGCTTCCCTGCATCTGCTGCATCAGGGAGTCCAAGGCGGCCTGCTCCGATGTACCCAAAGAGTGGGTTTAGGGGTTTAGGGTTTAGGGGTTTAGGGGTTTAGGGTTTAGGGTTCAGGGTTTAGGGTTTAGGGTTTAGGGTTTAGGGTTTAGGGTGGGACTTGGCGTTTAGGGCTTGGGATCTAAGGCTAAGGTTTGGGGTTGCTAGAAGGGCTTACTATGAGGGTTATCATAAGGACCACGATACGAGTTACTATGAAAGTTACTACACAAGACACTACAGTGGCTACTAGGGCTTACTATGAGAGTTACTCAAAGACAGGATTCCTACAAGGGTGAGCCTCATTGGATCGGCATAATTCGACACACTGTCAGAGTTTTAGCTGAGCCTGAGGGCATGGGCGCAATGAGGGACGGCATTGAACAGTGCCTAGCTAGGTCAGCTAGGTCCTCGGAGCTGAAGACCCGAGGATCTTCTCGATTTTACGTAGGGGCCTTAAAAATCAGAATAGGGTTTTGGGGCCCCTTATACTACGTCTATAATAAGGAACCCCCAAAATAATATTGGGGGCTATTTCGGCCCCTATATCAGTGGATCGAGCCTGCACCATGGCCTCGTTTTCGGCATCGAGCCTGGCTGGAGGAATCGGATCGCCCCCAGATTTGCAGGTCATAGTGTCCTAGATAAGCTCTGGATTCTATATCACACCTCTATACATGCATGGATAGATGGATTTTTGCAGAATATACTGGACATATGGGCACAGCATTCAATCCCTTGCTCAGACATCTCTTGTCTGCACACGCTAGTACTTACTTGCTTGGTCTAGACTTCTCCGTACATTTCTCTTGCTGCTTTCCAGCGCACTGCGGTCTCCGACCCAGCCCCTTGATGAGGGTGGTTTACGGATTCGGGAGGGGGGGAGTTGCTGAGACTGCGGCGCCGAGGTAGCCTCGTCAAGGAGGAGGATGCGTGGCCTGGCGGTTCGTGTCGAGGCTGCTGGAATTGGCGTTTTGGGTGTAATGTTGAATTATGCCTTGAGGTTTTGGGATTTAAAGTGGGCTTCTGGATTTAAGGTGTAACGTCCAGAGCGTGCAGCAGACATATCCGCGAATACAACCTTACGTGCACGCATGCATAACGCATGTGTGAAGACAATCGTATGTGCGCATGCATACATACATTACATTACATTACATTACATTACATTACATTACATTACATTACATTACATTACATTACATTACAATATATTACATTATGTTACATTACATTACATTACATTACATTACATTACATTACATTACATTACATTACATTACATTACATTACATTACAGTACATTACATGCAACATTACATTTCATTACATTTCACTACATTACAGACAGA